GAGTCAAGAGAAGCGTGTATGGTCTAAAGCCATCTTACTGCGTTCTGATGAAAGCCACCTTTGCGAGAAGGACAGCCCTTCCTGTAAACGACACACAGATCTGGTTTTCTCTGGGGAAAGAAGGGACGTGGCACCAGCTGTCGTCACTACGACCCCCGCCGGGTGCCTGATGGCCCCTCACAGAACCCTCACGGGCCTTCCCCAGAGAGGCAGCACCAGAAAGAATCTACAAGCACAGAGAAGAAAGGTTTTACGTGCACACAGGGCTTCGGCTCCATCCCCTCTCCCCGTGCCTGAGGTCGGGCTGTCCTGGGCCCTCAAGGCAAGAGGGGGATGTCCCCAGGAAGGGATGCGGACTGGCCCCATGGCTGCTGGCGGTTGCTGTCCCCTCCCCTGGGCCCGTGGGCACTCGAGCACCATGCCGAGGATGGGGAAGTGTGCAAGGCCGCAGCACACCCATCCCAGAGGTCATCACCCCCTGGGGAGATCCAGGACCATGGGCGGGGTCTCGGGCGGCCCTGAAGCACAGAGCAGAGAGCTCGCTGACCCCGCAAGCCCCAGCTCCTCTGTAAAGGGCAGGGCAGGCATTCCAGCGTCTTCTTCCAGCTCCACGACACAGTAGGAGGAGCTGAAACCATGGACACTGTGCTCTGAGCGCCCACGACCCTTCCCCTTGCCCGCTGGGCAGATGTGAGGATACACAGAAGTGCGCCCGCAAGATGCAGGCTGCGGTTAACCCCCAGCGGGCCGCACGCCCCGGGCAAGAGCCCTCCTCACTTCGGAGGCGTCCAAGATGTGGCGCCCACAGAAACATGCCTGCATGAGATGCTGGAGAGGAGGAAAGGCGGGATTCTTACCGTGAGCTCCTCTGTACAGACCGCCGGTGCTGCCCCCCTGCAGCCCAGGTGGGGTGAACGGCGGATAATGTGGGGGTGTCGTCACTGGAAAAGAAAGAGCAAAGTTCTGTTGCCGTGTCCTCCCCGAAGGGGTGCCGCTGTCCGCTGCAGGCTTGGCTTCTGGCTTACCATACGGTGTTTCTGGAGACACGGGAAACGCCGGCGTGGGAGAGGCCGAGTCAGAGCCACCCTTGGTTGGAGTGAAGGTCCTGCTGCTGATCCCGTTGGGGTCTGGGGGGTACGCGGCGGCCACCGTCTGGAATTGGCACAGGGAGTCGGGTGAAGGCCACCTCCTGACGGTGGGCCCGGGCTGACCCACGGTGCGGGGACAGGGGGCCGGGTCCCCATGCACGGCCCTGCCACTGGCGGCCACTGGGAAGAGCTTCAAAAACTCAAAGGAAGAGGGAGTCCCCGCGGTCCATCCACCTGCTACCGCGCGGAGCCAGCAGAGATGGCCCGGCCGTGGGGAGGTGGGCACCCGGTGGAGAACAGGATAAAATCATCCCTGCCTGTGGTGTGTGTGCTCACAGGCAGTGAGACCACAGCACAGAGAAAAACACAGAAGGATTTATCCAGGTATCACTGTTCTAAGCTATTCTGGGCTCCCACTTTCTGCCTCGACCACGATGAAAACACGAATGGGGACAGGCCCATCGTTCGGGGTTCGACCTATCTTACTGCGTTCTGATGAAAGCCTAGAAGACGCTCCGTGGATCCCACCACGGGGCCCACAGCCACGCTGACCCACTTTCTTCCCGCTTCCCTCCCGCGGCCCGAGACCTTGGGGAAGTCCGTGTCCCCTTGGCCACCGCCGTGGACCCGCGAGCCACCTGCATGCTCCCGCCTCCCCCCATCACGCAGTCCACGAGCGGAGGCCCAACGGAGCCCACGGTGGCCACGCCGTGCCTTCTGGGTAGGGCTGCACACCTGGGCTCTCCCAACCACACCCCTGCCTGCGAGACGGGAGGGAGGTGGGGTGGTAACGGGACCGCGATCGGGAAGGGCGCTGGTCCAGCTCAAGGGGCGGTGCCTACCTCCTTGGCGTCTGCTGGAGACAGGAAAGGCGCCAGACCTGTGGCCTGGTCCGCACCGGGGATCTTTCCCCATCCACATTTGGAGAAGGCCGGCTGCCCCCCAGCATCGTTGTCATACTGCCCGAGGCTCAGCTTCCGGAACCTTCCGCCCAGCGGCTCGTCCCCCGAGGAGCCTGACAGGAGAAACGCGTGGGCTGCAGGTGCTTTTCCCACAGCAGAGGACAGAGGCCTTAATTAAAACCTGACTACAATTTCCCAAATTGACACTCTTATTTTTTCTAGTTCCAGAACATTACAGCAACCACTGCCCGTTCCCCTCCCCCTGCCCCTGGCGACCTCTGGTCTTGCCGGTTCTGGACGTTTCCTATAAACGGAATCATCCACCGGGTGTCCTCTGCTCTCTGGCTTCTGTCACGGAGTGTGATGTCCCAGCCTGTCACGATCAGAACCCACTTTTGTTCATTTCCCGCTTCTCCCAGCATCATTCCCAGGAGGGATCTGTGTGCATCTGGTTCCCGGTGCCTCGCACACAGCAGGTGCTCAAGAAGCACAAGGGCGAGACCCTGAGGTCAGGATGGAGCCCGCCCTCCCCTCGCTGAGTGTGCACGGAGGATTTTTGGTGGCCTTTTGGTGGCTGCGATGCTGGACCGCGGTCTGTGCTCTGATATGTATCACTTTTAAAGTCAGAAAAACAAGATGCCTGGACTTCACTTGAGTTGAAGAGCGAAATACTTCAAACCTATTCTCCGAACTGTATTAAAGAATCAGCTACCTCCATCTGGCCGTGTCCCCGTTTTTCTTTTTCAATGAAGAAGTCACATCCGGGAAAGAGGGAAACAGACCAAATGAAGGCAGGAAAGGCTCGAGCTAAAGCAGCACAATGGGTGCACTCAGCCCTCCATGGGGAGGGGTCTGTTCTGAGAAGGACCACGGGGAGAAGGGGGAACAAGCCCTAGGCTCCCTCTGGGGGCATCCCACAGGCCACGGGCCTGGGTGCTGAGCCCCGGACACCCCCATCCCCGTCCCTCCCTGCACAGCCCCAGCCCTACACCCCTGTTCAGACACGCCCCTGCCCCTCTCTGCCCACCTGCTAAGATGCACCTGCTCCCTGCTGCTTCCCAGCCAGTAGCCAAGACACCGGGACCTCAGCAGCCCCACACAGTCACAGAGGACGTTGGAATCAATGCAGAAAACACGGCAACCCAGGACCACAAAATCCGCAAAAATCCCCGGTGACCCGCGCATCCACCCACAATCCCAGTCCCCACAGAGGGTCGGGCCAGGTCGGTCTTCCTCTGCCGAGTGCTGTGAGCCTGTCCCTCCCGTTGACCCCAACGGCCCTTCTGCTGGGCGTTCACAGGTCTTCAACTGGTCTCCTTTCCTCCTGCCACAGGACACCACACACCCTGGGCCTTGGGGCTCCCCTCCCCAGGCTTACAGCGGGGCAGGTGTTCCCGGGAGGCCCCCTTGCTGCCTTTCCCAAACACCCGCGTGTCTCATTTTTGCAAATTCACTATTCCCAGGGAAGGGGCGGTGCTGGGGTTCAAGGACAGGATACACCCGCTGAGCCTGCAAACCTTGGGTCAGCTCAGCCTTAGCCAGGCTCCGGGAGGCTCGGATTCAGTGTGGGGTGCAGGAGTTTGCAGGCTGGGTCATTTGGTCATTCAGGGGACATGTAGGGATGGAGCCTGGCTGTGATTGGGCCCCGCAGAGCTCACGGCACCAGGACAGAAGCCCCCGGCACGCCCAGTCACCGGTCTATGGTGGATGCAACTTACACCAGCCGTCACCAGAAGGTGTGGTGAGGGCCAGGGCAGGGAAATTACCGGGTGCTGAGGACAGTCCTCGCCTTGGGTACCTGGACGCCCCCACTGAGCCCCTACGGAAGCAGAGGATTCAGGCCAAGACCGTGGGGTGCCCACAGAGCTCTTGGCACCAGGACTAAATTCAGCCTGACCTGGGAGATCAGCATGGTGGTCACCAATTTGCCACTGAGTCAACAGAGGTGCAGGATGTGACCTGCTCAGATTACTCACTAAAAAACTGGATTAAAAAGAAAAAAACCCAGAAGCCCCTTGGCAAGTCTGCACCTGTTTGTAAATACACCGATCGTTGTATCTTCCTTACACTCCACGAGGGCGATTCAGACCTCTCGAGGGGACTGTCTGATCTTGTCCACAGGTGAGGAGCTTGACAACTCACAAACTGGGGTCCCAGCCCCTCCCCTGTGCTGTCGAAATACAGCCCAGACCAGGCGTCACCACCCTGGTCCCCGGCACGAGACTCCCGAACAGCTTCCAAATTCCACAACGGGGTTGGAAACGGGTCGTATCCGAACCGCCTTCGGGCGGGGCTCTCCCGCCTCAGCAAGCGGGGGTCAGCCCTCCAGGTGAGCAGGGTGCACGCCCAGGCAGAACCCCAAGTACAGAACAACAGTTCTCAAACTTGGCCGCACATTTGCATGGCATTGAAATTCCTGGCACGCAGACCTCACCCCTTCCCTGGGACTGAGGCCCAGAGCCTGGCATTTTTTTAACAACTTCCCAAGGGCCCCCAAACTCATGACCACACTGAGCACAGACGCAGGTTTCAAGCCCGGAGTTCCACGTATGGGGGGGCATTTAAAATAATTCTGACGCTCGATTCCCGCCCAGGCCAACCCAAGCCGGCCCTCCGGAGGAGGAAGCCGTCTCCGCATCTGGTAACGTTCCCAGGTGACTGCTCTGTGTAGCCAAGGGGACAGACTCCGGCCCTTGAGCGTCGATGGAAACCCCTGAGAACACAACCTTTGTCTTCCATCTGGGCCACTAGAAGGCAAAGTGCCCTGAAGCTATTTATTTATCTTTATACAACCGTGGAAGAATGAAGTGCTGCATCGTAGAAGCATGCACAGTGGGTTCTGGAAACTCCCTCGCATTCCTAGGAGTGAAGACAAACAATGGCCAAACACTGCCCCGCGGTTTTGGGAGGCCTCCCGAGTTCAGCTCATTCAACTGGACACGTGCAGCTTCTCAAGAGAGGGTGGGAGAGGGTGAAGGATCTGCTCAGTGTGACAGTGAAAGTGAAAAGCCCACCTGCCCAGCTTAAATGTTCCCAGAATGGCTCAAGGAGCTTTATTTCTCCCTAAGCTGCCACAGGGGTGGCCCGTCCCCGCCACCTGCAGGGTATATTCGCGAAGAGCCAGGAGACGGTTTGTTAGAAATGCCTAGCCCTGTCCACCGCCCGCCCCGCCCCCCGACCCATCCCAGCGCCAGGGGAGCCCGTGGGAGTGGGCTGTCACTGGCACAATGAGGCCAGGGGGCCGAGGAAGGCAAGCCTGTCTTTGGGATTGCAAAACTGCAAATCCTTTTCACTGGGAAACACTGAAGTGCTTGGTTAGGTCGCATTTCTTCCCCAAAGGTGCGCTTAAAAGGGAAAGGACATGTCCAAAAAGCTAGAAGGCTGACCTTCCAATATAGGAAAGGTTGGCGATCCTCCTCCCACCACTTACTCAAAATCAGATATGACTTCAAGCAAAATATAAGAAGCCACACAGCAACCAAAAGGCAAGATCGCTACCCGACTCACTGAAGACACATTATCAGCAGAGCTTGGTGCCTGGCTTCGGGTCCCTCCTACGTCTTTGAATTTATTTTCCCTTTGAATGATCTTTCCCCTCCTCAAACCACTAGATCTTGGTGGCCTGCTCCTCAAACACATCATCTTTTAGCAACTGTAGCTTTTTTTTTTTTTTTAAAGATTTTATTTATTTATTTGTTGGGCGGGGGAGAGAGCGAGCACAAGCAGGGGGAGTGGGAGAGGGAGAAGCAGGCTCCCCGCTGAGCAGGGATCCCGATGTGGGGCTCGATCCCAGGACCCCGAGATCATGACCTGAGCCGAAGGCAGATGCTTCACCGACTGAGCCACCCAGATGCCCCACAACCATACCGTTGACAACTAGGACTGTCGTCAGGGCCGTCCACCTTCAGGACCACCCTCAGTGGATGGTGATGTGGGCAGGTGCGGCCGCAGGCCCAGCTGGCTGATGGGCTATGAGGAGAAATGAAGACTAGAGCTATGACCCCGAGGCCCACCCCGGCTAGAGATGTCATGACCTCTCTATCCCGACACAGAGGACCTTCCCACCCTCTACCCACAGGTTAAACAAACGCCAGCTGTCCGTAAGTGACGGTGCATGTGTCCATTAGGGGGTCACATCCGTGTGGACCAACCTGTTCTTAGCACACCCACGGCAAGAGCTTTGGGAAACAAGCCAGCCACGCCAGAGGCCAGGGGGTCTCCAAAGCGAACTTTCAAACAATGGAGGGGGTGGTCCCTCGACACCTTAAACAAAAACGGGCCATGTGGCCCGGCAGTTCCACTCAAGAATTAAAAACATTCAGGGGTGCCTGGGTGGCTCGGTCGGTGAAGCGTCCGCCTTTGGCTCAGGTCATGATCCCGGCTCCTGGGATCAAGCCCCACGTGGGGCTCCGCACTCACGGGGAGCCTGCTTCTCCCTCTGACCCTCCCCCTGCTTGTGCGCTCTCTCCTTCTCTCTCTCTCAAATAAAATCTTTAAAAAACAAAAAAGAACCGAACACATTCAGACAAACACTTGTACACAGATGTTCACGGTACCCACGCCCGGATGAATGGACGTACATACTGTGTCCACTCGCCCTGTGGAATACAATTCAGCCTTACACAGGAATGAAGCTCTAACACACGCTACAACCTGGATGAGCGTGGAAAAGCAGATGCTCAGCGAAAGAAATCAGACGCACGTCGTACAATTCCATTTAGATGAAATGCCCAGCATAGGCAAACCCAGAGTTGGAAGGCAGATTAGGGGCGGCCAGGGGCCGGGGCTGGGAGACAGGACTGACCGCTAATGGGGATGAGGTTGACTGCAACGTGCACTGCACAAGCCACTGACTGAACTTGGGACTTTTTTTTATAATTATTATTTTTAAAGATTTTCTTTATTTATTTGACAGAGAGAGACACAGTGAGAGAGGGAACACAAGCAGGGGGAGTGGGAGAGGGAGAAGCAGGCTCCCCGCGGAGCAGGGAGTCTAATGCGGGGCTCGATCCCAGGACCCTGGGATCATGACCTGAGCTGAAGGCAGATGCTTAACGACTGAGCCATCCAGACGCCCCTGAGCTTGGGACTTTAGAAAATCACCACGGATACA